TGGTGGCTCACGCCTGTAATCCCAGCACTTTGGGAGGCCGAGGAGGGCAGATCACGAGGTCAGGAGATCGAGACCATCCTGGCTAACATGGTGAAACCCTGTCTCCACTAAAAAAAAAAATACAAAAAATTAGCCAGGCATGTTGGTGGGCGCTTGTAGTCCCAGCTACTTGGGAGGCTGAGGCAGAAGAATGGTGTGAACCTGGGAGGTGGAGCTTGCAGTGAGCTGAGATGGTGCCACCGCACTCCAGCCTGGGTGACACAGCGAGACTCTGCCTAAAAAAAAAATAATAAAAAAAAAGAATGATGCTCAATGTACTCTGCCTGTGCTCTGTAAGAGGACAACAAAGCCTGGTGTCAGCACCTCTGTTGACAGCATGGTTTGCTGAATATTTAAAGCCCACTTTTGAGACCTACTGCTCAGAAAAACAGATTCCTTTCAAAATAGTACTGCTCATTGGCAGTGCTTCGGCCACCCAAGAGCTCTCACGGAGATGTACAAGGAGATGAATTCTGTCCCGTGCCTGCTAACACCACGGCTAACACCGCAGCCACGCAGCCCATGGATCGAGGCGTCATTTCGACTTTCAAGTCTTACTATTTACAAAGCACATTTAATAAAGTTACAGCGGCCACAGAGAGTGATTCTTCTGACGGATCTGGGCAAAGTGAATTGAAAACCTTCTGGAAAGGATTCGTCATTCTAGATCCCATTAAGAGCATTCCTGATTCATGGGAGGAGGCCAAAATAGCAACATTAACAGGAATTTGGAAGAAGTTGATTCCAACCCTCATGGATGACTTTGAGGATTCAAGACTTCAGTAGAAGGAGCTACAGGTGTGGGGGAAACAGCAAGAGAAGCAGAATCAGAAGTGGAACCTCAAGATGGCCCTGAATTGCCACAGTCTCAAGAGAAAACCTGAATGGATGCAGAATTGCCTCTTACGGACGAGCAGAGAAAGTGATTTCTTGAGATGGGATCTGCTCCTGGTGAAGATGCTGTGAACACTGTGGAAATGACAAAAGGGACCTAGAATATTCCATACATTGAGTTGATAAAGTGGGAACAGCATTTAAGAGACTGACTCCAACTTTGAAAGAACTTCTGCCATGGGTAAAATGCTATCAAACAGTGTTGCATGCTACAGATAAATCTGTGAAAGAGTTGATGCATGTGGCAAATTTTATTGTTGTCTTATTTTAAGAAATTGCCAGCCTTTTTAGCATTTTTAGCACATACATTTTAAATGGATGTACGTACATTTTTTAGACATAATGCTATCACACACTTCATAGACTACAGAATAGTGTAAACCTAACTTTTATATACTCTGGAAAGCCAAAAAGTTCATGTGACTTGCTTTATTGTGATATTTGTTTTGTTTTGGAACCTAACCCACAATATCTCCAAGATAGGCCTGTATTTCCTTACAACAAGAATATTCTCTTAAGGATCAGGTAGAAATTTTAAAATAAAAATATCATATTTTATTTTTTAAATTTTTAGTAATAGGGTCATGCTCTGTTGCCCAGGCTAGAGTGCAGGGGCACGATCATAGCTCACTGCAGCCTCGACTTCTTAGGCTCAGGTGATCCTCTTGCCTCAGCCTCCTGAGTAGTTGGGACAACAGGTGTGTGGCATCATACCTGGCTAACATATTTTTTAAATTTTCTGTAGAGATGGGGTCTTGCTACGTTGCCCAGGCTGGTCTCAAACTTCTGAGATCAAATAGTCCTCCCATCCCAACCCAAAATACCATTTTTATATTCAAATATTTTTATTTACTTGGTGTGCAAGTCCCAGGGACTTTATTATTTACACAGTCAACTACAGAATTAATATTTTAACATGCTGTTCATTTTTGTATTCTTTGGGGAAATCACACTCCAAAAAAGGAACTGTACTCACCGAAGGTGGTAGAGATCCGCCAGGCCCTTGCATCCCACCACGGAGTCCGAAATCAGCACCCCCAACTGCAGGATGGGGACCGTGAGTTCGTGTAGGCACATCTTCTGCAGGGCCTTGACCAGGTGGTCCAGGAAATACAAACTGTACGTCTACACGAACACATAACACACACAGGAGGTCACAGGAGCGGGTGTAGGCCACAAGCATAAGGGTCTCTCCTCAGAGAACCCCCTCCCTCCCCGTGCCAGCACGTGTCTGCATACAGCAGGTGCTCAGCACGCTTCTGTGCGACGGATGGAGGCTGTGCTATCTTCCTTCCCTCTTCCACTCATGGGTTTCATTTTGTCACATGTGATCATCTTTGTGAACATCAGCACCCAAGTATGAAGATCCCCACAAGAAACACACCCATTCATGGATTTATTCAAATTTATGTGTCTGTTTCATTTTTCCACTAAAAACTACTGACTCACTAGAGACAGAATTTCTTTGTGTGCACACACAACCACTTAAACATTTAATATATAAAGAAGAGCTAATGCTTCCTATGATGTTGGACTCAGTTTGTTAAAACCATTACTCTTGAGTGGGAAATTAGGAAAGTTGGATGACCTGTTGTAAAAATGTACTTCTAAGAACTGAAGGTAATCAATATTCAAAGAATGACTGGGCCGAGATCTGGAAGTCAGTATGCATCCAGGGACATGAGCCTGGCTATCAGGCACTGACACAGCCGAGGGTCTCACGGCGCTCTGCACCGTGCTGCAGGCTGGGCTTAGAAAACTGGGTTCAGGGCCCACCAAGAGCTCCACTCTCTCACTCTCTCTCTCAGGCTGGGTTCTTGAAGGGCTGCACCTTAGAATTCCAGGCAATCTAGGAGGAGGCCATTCCCTCAGGGATGACAGCCAGGCAGAGGGGCCGTGCGGGCAGCCTGGAAAGCATGGGGTCCCTTGAGAGGTCGATGGAATTGATCACTCCTGGTGAGGCTGATCGGGAGAGCGAGCGAGGGGTGACAGGGCTCTACAGATCTCACAGGCATTAAAAGGTAATACAAGGACATTGAGAACAACTTCATAACAATATATCCAAAATGCATTTTAAATAAAAACATCCCAGAAAAAATGCAACCCATGAAAACTGTTACAAGAAGAAACAGAAACTCTGAAGAATTCTATAGCTATGAAATAAATTGGATCCATAATTTAAAATTTTCTCAAACAGAAGCTCTGGGCTCAGATGGCTTTACCGGGGAATTCTTCCGGACATTTAAGGATGAAATAACTACCAATCTTATACAAATTTCTCCTAACAATGGTCAGAAAGGAATACTTGCTAACTGACTAAAAGGCCAGCATAACTTTTACCACATCCTGAGGAGGACACACATGAAAGGAAAATTAAACGTCGTCTTCCTCACAAGCACAGATGCACATACCCCGGACAGAAGAGCCGCCAACCAAAGCTGGTGACATAGAGTGAGTGACAGTACAGCCAAGCTGCCCTATTGTGATAATCATTAGAAACAATCAAGGTAATTAATTCAAGGAATGAAGGAGGAAAACACCATCTGCATAGACGGAGAAAAATATTTGATAAAAATATAAAAGCATTCATGACTAAAATTCTTAGCGAATAGAAATAAACTTCCTTAATCAATAAAGATCTATAAAAACCTACAACAAACATCAATTATACTTCCGAGTAAAATGTCGGAAACTTTCCTTTGGGATAGGGCATGCAACATAAAAATAGATGTTATCACCATTTTTATTCAACCTCATACTGGAGGTCCTTGCCAGAATATAAAGCAAGGTAAAGAAAAAACAGTGTAAAGAGTGGAAACTAAAAAAGAAAAATGTGTTTGCAGATAAAACGACAATGTACACACAAAATCCAAAATAATCTACAGACAAATTACTAAAGTTATAAAGAGCTTAACAAAATGGATGCTTACAAGGCCAAAATGAAAACAATTACATTTCCACAGTTTATCTGGAGTTTAAACATGAAACAACAAAGCTATATTTACAACAGCATCAAACGTTTCAAATACACAGAAATAAATCTGACATGTATAACTGCCATGTAGAAAACTCCGGTCTATTGTTAAGAGACGCTGAAGATGACCTAAGTCAATGCAGAGACAGACCATGTCCATGGATCAAAACGCTCAACACCATAACAATGTCGGTTCTCCACAAAGTAACTTACAGATTCAATGCAATGTCAGTAAAAACTCTACCAGGGTTTGTGATGGGTCTGACACACTGATTCTAAAATACACATGGACATGCAATGGAGAATAAAAAGAGTAGCCCAACCGTCCTGAAGAATGAGGTAAGGAGATTTTCTTTACCAAATACTCATGGTTGTGAAGCTCAGTAATTGACACTGAGATGATGCTGCAAGGACAAAAAACTAACAGAAAGCAAGAGAGACCCCAAAGCAACCCCATGCACAGGTGAGCACCTGCTCATGCCCAGTGCAGCCAGCAGGGAAGGTGGCCAGTGACATTTCAGGAAGTGGTGTCAGAACAACGGGACACCCTGACTGCCAAGCTTGAGGCTTGACCCCTACGTCACACCACACACACATCAAGTTCAGGTGACAGGCAAAACTATAAAGGTGCAAAATATTTCCACTTTTTGGAAAAATACTATAACAGAGTATCTGTACAACCTCCAGAAATGAAAACATAAAAAAAAGACACACAAAAAACTGACTAATTACAAAGGAAAAGACTAATGACTCTTATTACATTAAAACTACTAATCCCTGTTCCCAAAAAGACCTCCTTAACAGTGGAAAGGCAAGGCACGAAGTGGAGGCGGATCTGCTGGTCACATGGCTGCTCATGTAATTTTCCAGAATAAAGGATTCCTTCAAACCAATAAGGAAAACTCAGAAAGCTTAATTAAATATGGGCAATAGCCTGGAGGGCACAACACAAGAGAGGACCTCCAAGGATAGGAAGCACTGAAGGCCAACCTTACTGTGGCCAGGAGTGTCCCATTAAACGATGGGGAATGCCACTGCCCACCCACTGGCTGCTGAGATTGAGGGGAGTGTCATCAGCAGGGGTCTGCACAGGGCCACTCTACCCATGGCAGGCACAGCAGTGCACTGAATGACCACTGTGGAGGGCAGCATGGCAGTGTGGCACCAAACATCACAGGTGGAGATTCACATCCTCCATGGTCCAGAAAGTCTGTGATGGGTGTGTCCTCCAGGCATGGGGGCATGTGGGCACCAGGACACAGTGCATGGATAGTCACAAAAGCTTCATGTAGTAGCTGTTAACCGGAAACAGCCCATCCACCAGCAGGTGGATGGACGAACCATGGCCTGTCCATGCAATGGGCCACCCACAGCAGTACACAAAACATAGACAGACTTGGCCAGGCGCGGTGGCTCAAGCCTGTGATTCCAGCACTTTGGGAGGCCGAGACGGGCAGATCACGAGGTCAGGAGATCGAGACCATCCTGGCTAACACGGTGAAACCCCGTCTCTACTAAAAAATACAA